CCCCCCCCCCACTGTCTCTCCAGATCCAGCAGGCCATCCACGGCCACCCGCAGAAGCACACGGTGCTCATCATCGCGCACCGGCTGAGCACGGTGGAGCGTGCGCACCTCATCGTGGTGCTGGACAAGGGCCGCGTGGTGCAGCAGGGTACTCACCAGCAGCTGCTGGCCCAGGGCGGCCTCTATGCCAAGCTGGTACAGCGGCAGATGCTGGGGCTCGAGCCCGCCTCCGACTACTCAGCCGGCCACAAGGAGCCGCCAGGCAGCGGCGGCGGTCACAAGGCCTGACCGGTGGGGCGGAGGCCCTGGCGCCTCGCCTGGCAGATGTACCCGTGGGGGCCTCCCCGCCCAAGGCAGTTCCTCTGAGCCCAGGCCCACAGCACCGGAGGGCCACCTGCCATGTCCCACGTGTCACCGCTTCCTGCATCTTGCCCCCGATTCCTGCCCCGTCGCCTGGGCCACCACCAGCCTCCCTGCTGTTAATGGCTGCCTGACCACCGCCTCCCAGACAGCTGGGTAGTGAGACATCGATCTCTGTTCTCCCCAAGACTGGCTTCCTGGCATGGTCTGTTACCTTTTAAGGTAGAGCTACCTTTTTAAACCAAGATCTTCCCAGGTTTTTTTTTACTGCTTGGTTTGATGGGCCCCAGTCAACTCCTAGATTTCTTTTTTTTTTTTTTTTTAATTTTTTTTTTTTCAATTTTTATTTGTTCAGGTTTTTGGGACAGAGAGAGATAGAGCATAATGGGGAGGGGAGACAGAGAGAGGAACACAGAAATCGTGAAACAGGCTCCAGGCTCCGGAGCCATCAGCCCAGAGCCCAGCCGGGAGGCTCCGAACTCACAGTTGCCAGATGACCTGGCTGAAGTCGGACGCTTAACCAACTGCGCCACCCAGGCTTCCCCTCATCTCTAGATTACCAAAAAAACAGTTTTTCATTGGGAGTAACAATGGGCAAGGTCATGAGATGTTCTGCAACTTTGAGCCAGGAGGAATGATGCCTTTTCCTAATAGCCTGGGGGATGTCAGGGAGAACCAGGCCTCTGCCCCTTCGCCTCGAGAGAAGGGGCTTCCCACATCCCAGAAGGGGACAGAGGAGGGGACTTCCTCCTCTCACTCTTCCCAGCTTCATGAGTCAGGCCAAGGTCAGCAGGGGCAGTGGAAGGCACCTGTCTGCCCATCGTCCCCTGCCTGCCCACAATGATCTCACTGTGAACCACTACTACTGACCCAGAGCTTTGGGCCAGGCTCGGGAGTGAGGACTAGGGGGGGGCTGAGCCTGTGCCGAACTCAGGTAACCCCAGCCCTGCACCCAGCTCGAGCCCCTCGGCCCTGCCTCATCCCCTTCTCCTGTCCCCCACCCCTGCAGCCCTCTCCCCACACCTTCCTGCCCCTTCTTTCCAGGAGGCCTTTGGCATGTTGGATATTTGGCAGACGCATTCTCTTCCGTGTCTGGTGGATGGGGATGGGACAGTGGCAAAGCTCAGGCTCTGGCTTTGCGGGGGGGGGGGGGGGTGGTGAGAGGGGCGTTGCAGGATGTTAGAAGAACCCGGCCAATAAAGTGTACTACCTCTGACCCCTGACCTCTGACCTCTTCCTGGGCCCTCTGCCCCATCACCTGGTTAGGTTTTTCCATCAAACTCAGCTCTCCTCCCAGCCCTGCCCGGCGTAGTTGTGGGAGAGACTCTGGGTGGTACAGGGCCTCCCCCCAGGATCTTGGAGCCTCCCTTCTGTCCTCTTCATGTCCCCAGGATCTCCAGCACAAACATTCATGTCTGTCTGTCTATCTCCGTGCGGCTTGTGCAGGGTAACGGAGACCCGTCTCCTCTAAATCTGCGGGACTTCTGTGACTCCCAGGAAAGCCGAGGCCCAGCAAATGCCACCTGTTCTTTCCCGTCAGGGACCGGGCACCTCACGCCCACTCCGCCCCACGGAGCTGAGACATATTACCTAACAGCTCAGTCAGAAGAGACTGAAGACGTCCGGGGGGGTCATTCATACCTGCGGGATTGTAAGGGAGTCTGGGGCTCCCGGGAGGGGGCTGGGGCAGTGGCGATTTACCAAACTGGTAGAAAAGTATTTTGATATTGTAACTACTGGGGCGGTCACGCTGCGTGTATCAGCTCTGTGTCAGCCATGTACCCACTCTCTTGCCAAATAAGCTGACCCAGGCCGTGACCAGCTGAGTCTCCTGCTTCACCTCAGGGGCTCAAGGAAACTGAGATACAGAGAGGTTAAGCAACTTGCTCAAGGCCACCAGCTAGTAAGGGGTAGAGCTGGGATTCACCCCCAAGAAGTATGTGTGTATGTTTGACCCCAACCACAGAACGCCCGTGAGAGTAAAGATTTAAGGGCGCGGGTTGGAGAGCATATTGACATTGCACCAAATGCTACAGATCAAATGTTGGTTCTCAAACATAAGTGCCTCCAGGAACCGGGTAGGTATCATAAGTGTGTGAAAGCAGCCAGGTGTTAGAAAAATCAGTCAACGCTCTTGGTTTCTTTTCTGCTTTTCCACTTTTGACACGGCGCGGGGAAATCTTTCTGTTCCATTAAAAATAGAATATGGTGCAAGCCTGAGAATAAATGGCAACCGAGGCTTTGTATCTCATTTAACGGCGATGGCTGGGACTTGGCCTCGGCCTCTTGAGGCCATGCAGGAAGGTGGCCTTGAGTCAGCAGATCTGCAGATATTTTCAGAGAAGCTGGAGATTCCAGTTTTAGTGTAGGATTGATGGCTTTTTATAGATTGGCTCAAATTGTTTTTACAAAACCCAGGGCCAATAGACACATCTCGAGTCAGTCTTCAACCTGTGGGTCACCAGTTTGCATCCTCTCTGCTGGACATTCTTGTTCTCCAAAGTCCTTGGAGCTTCCCCATCAAGGAGATTTCCCCTGCCATGGGGGGCCCCCAGCCCAGCCCCCTCCCTGCCGCCCATCTCTTTGCCTCATTGCCTCACCTCCCCCCTCAAAATCCCCAGGCTGGGAACCCCAGATGCTTCCTGCTTTCCCATGCTCTGGTTCCCTGGTTGGCAAACCTAAACCCAAAAGCAGGCCCTAGGCAGACAAAAGAACCTTCCAGAGACCAAGCTAGCTGTTTTCTAGAAGGCATATATTATTTTTTATTTTATTTTTTTTTAATGTGTATTTGTTTTGAGAAAGAGAGAGAACGAGCTGGGGAGGGGTAAAGAGAGAGGGACAGAGAGAGAATCCCAAGCAGGCTCCACACCGTCAGAGCAGATCGAGGGGTGGGGCTTGATCTCACGAACCGTGAGATGACGACCTAGGTCAAAACCAAGTGTCGGGCACTCAACCAACCAAGCCACTCGGGTGCCGTGGCAGATACGATTTTTTAAATAAATATTTTGTTGTGGGATAATTTTAGCATTTCAGAAAGGTTGCAGTGAAATAGAGGGAGTCCTTGCACAGCCCTCAGCCAGCCTCCTCTCACATTATCGTCTCGTGCAATCGTGGCGATAACTTGTCCTAACTAAGAAAACAGCACTGACGCATCACTGTCAGTGAAACTCCAAGCTTTTTTTTTTTTTCCTTTTCACCAATTTTCTGCTCATGTGGGTTTTTGTTTTTTTTTTTTTTTTTTTTTTTTTTTTTTTTTTTTTTTTTTTTTTTTTTCTGTTCCAGGATTCAATTCAGAGCACCGCATTGCATTTAAAGATCGTTTTTGAGTTGTTTTTATTGTAGTAAAACACACCTAACATAAAATTTACCATTAATAACATTTAGTGCCTTCACAGTGTGGTGCAACCATCAGCATCTCCTAGTTCCAGGACATTTTCATCCTTTCCCTCCAAAAAAAACCCATCCCATTCATAGTCCCTCCCTGTTCGCCCCTCCCCCCAGCCCCTGGCACCCACCAGTCCGCTTTCTGTCTCTAGATTCGCCTCTTTGGGACATTTCGTATCGGTGGAACCATACCTTTATGTGGCCTTTTGTGTCTGTCTTCTTTCACTCAGCATCTTGTCTCCGAGGGTCATCCATAGCGTGGCAGGTGTCAGCATCTCATTCCTTTTTACGGCTGAATCCTATTCCAGTGTGTGGATGGACCACGTTTTGCTAATCCCTTCATCCATTGATGGGCACTGGGGTTGTCTCTGCCTTTGGGCTGTGCTGAATAGCGCTGCTGTGAACATTCATGTTTTTGTGTGGACATAATCTCTTGGGTATACGCCTAGGACCAGAATTGCTGGGTCACATGGCCACTCTCCGCTTAACTTGAGGAACTACCTACCAAACTGCTTCCACAGTGGCTGCACCATCGTACCTTCCTACCAGCAAAGTATTAGGGTTCCAGTTTGTCCATGTCCTCACCGACACTTGCTATTTTCTGCCTTTATTTATTTACATTTTATTTTTAAAAAAATTTTTAATGTTTTATTTATTTTTGAGAGAGAGCGCGCGTGAGCAGGGGAGGGTCAGAGAGAGAGGGAGACACAGAGTCTGAAGCAGGTTCCAGGCTTCGAGCTGTCAGCACAGAGCCCAACGTGGGGCTCGAACCCACAATCGGCAAGATCACGACCTGAGCCGAAGTCGGAGGCTTAACGGACTGAATCACCCAGGTGCCCCGTTTATTTACATTTTAAATTACAGTCAAGCTGGTGGATCTAAAGTGGAGAGCCATGGTTTTTGAAGTGGACTTTTTCTCTTTTGTGATCGAGCAAATACGGCTGCTTTCTTCTGCCCCAGGGACTGTGCCGGGCCATCAGGGAAAATCATTGCGGTCAGGCCCTCAGGGAATGCACGGTCTGCTGGGGACACAGGCAGGCGAGGAAATAAAGGATGGGACGCAAGGGACAGGGGCACAGGGGCTGTGGGGCCCCAGAGCAGGTTTAATCCTGGTGTAAGGACCCAGGGGCGGGAGGAAGACAGAGGCAGGGCCGGCCTCACATGGGCGTGCGTGCATCCTGTGTTGAAATTTTGGAACAGGCGGCCCTGCATTTTCCTTCTGCACCAGCCCCTGCAGATTCTGCAGCTCGTCTTGGGAAGTGGTCCCAGCTGGAGGCAGGGGTCGGGGAAGCCTCTCTCCACAGCTGCATCTCTGGCGTCTGGAGGAGGGCGCTTTTTTTTTT